TTATTATTCATACAACTTCAAATCACTTCCAATTTCGTTTTTTGGAAACTATATCAATATTTCATCAATATTTAATCATCATAATCCATGAAAAATTATGATTTAGGCATTTAGGTAATCTCATGTTTAACCTACAAGTTGTAAGCAATTAGATGTCAATCCTCACCTTAATTGAGCTTTAAACTTTTCCTTCTTGATCCAATGGTCAAAGCTTCGGTCAAGGTGGATTAGGGACTGATTCCTTACTCAAAAATGAGTGTTAAATAGCCTCCTCCAAGTGCTATGTCAACCCTTAACCAAAGATACGAAAACAGCCCCTAGAATGGGTGTTTTCCGGCGAACTCCTTTCCTAGTTTTTCCAAGATTTGCTCTAGGTTAGTATATAACCTTTACACCAATAAATTAACTCTATAAGGACATATTATACACTTGGAGTGGTGTATAATAGCTCCATAAATCGTTCATATCATTTGGAAAATGAAAGGAAAGGTTTTGGGGTTAACACTCACTTTAGAAGCGTAGATCCGTACGTTTCTGCGAGGTTGCGTTTTGCTCGAACGATTTGGAAGTTTTCCACTACTCCGATTTATGCAAACCAGACCTTCACGGATTCCTCATCTTGAGAGATTTCTTTTGCTATCTTTCACGCCTTATTTGGATTGGTATAACTCGAGATATCAACCAAACAGCTTCAACACTCTCACTGCTCGAGTTTACGCACAGCAGTTCACTCCAGCTCGATTTTCGTATGATAAACTCTCCCCTCTCGCTTAGACACCACTCAAATATGAAAATAGACTTCAAAGGCTATCCAAGGACACCTTATTCAAGATATTTGGACGAGTAAAACTCTCATAATGAAGGGAGACAAACAGCACACCAATTTGTGCGAAAATAGTGATGGTGGCTCCAAAATCTGATTCCTGTCAAGTCTTGTGCAGCTCCTCTCCATGCTGGCCGGCCAAGGTAAGTCGCCTCACCCATTTTTATTTGTCTTGCAGGTACTAATATCATGTGGAGTGGTTCCCAATTGATCCCAATCATTTTGGGGTCCAAAATATCTACCAATACTTCCAAAAATGGGAAGATGAGTCCTATTGTTTTATCTTTTGTCAAAAGATGTCTTTTTGTACTCATTGTAATTTATTTAGAACAAGTTAACTCCCTATAATTGTGTAGGCTATCCCAATATGTGTAGGCTCACCCCAATAATTTATGTGATGAAAATTATAGAAGAAACATATTCTCATTATCTAGTTCAAAGATGTCAAAGATGGGACCATAGGTGTTTCTATTCTTCCCAAATCATCCTTTCACTTATTTTGACATTATTATACACATTGTTGGGATACAAGCCGTGTGGGTCACCCTCGAGTGGGCCTAGGGCGTCATTCTTGAATACTTAGTAATTTTAGCAGGTTGGGCCCAAAATAATATTTGGGCTGCCCAACCTTCCTCAACTTGTCTTGAAAGGTTATGTATCATTATTTAGATAATGTTGGGCTTTTTTATTCATTAATAAGGCCCGAATAAGTATTTGTAAGCCCGACACTAATATACTAGTTTGAACAGTACAATAATTGATCATTAATTTTCGTAAAACATTAATCGCTTTACAATTGTTTGGGAATCGGAAATTCAATACATAAACTTTGAATTCTTAATTGAATTTTCAAGGAAGTTCGGGTGCGGTGTCACACCAAAAATAGGTACTCTCCTCCCATATGGTCTTGTAGTTCGAATTAATTAGTCAATGAAGAGAGATAACGTCTACATATATCATCTTCAACCTCCCAAAACCAACCCAAGCTAAGGAGAAGAGAATGAAAAAAGAAGGAAAAAAATATGAGAAATCAAGATAACGACCTCTTTAACATCATTTCTTTCTTTGTTTAATCTCATGTGATTGGATAAATCATATGATAGACCCATAAAATTGTTTTTTATCCATAATTGTATTGTTAGATTAACCGCTAAAAGGCACATATTAGCGGCTTGACCCACTTGTTCTCTCTCTATATACTACCCTTGAGAGATTTGTAACCCTAAAAGATAACTAATATTCTTTCAATAATATTATTTGTCTCTCTTCTCCATTAGCTCAATCTCTCCTAAAAAGTATAACTTGGATCCTTGTAATCCATCAGGTAGTTGGAAAGATGGTCACTACACGTGTCACCATGGCAATCGTCATTCGGTTCAATCGACGCGACCGCCGATTTCGACTTATCAAAAAGCGACACCTGTCCCAGTCTGTCCCCTCTCCCACAGATACACCACGCTCACTGGAGACATGACCGAAGGAACCCTACGAACCAATTACACCCGACCGATAAAAAGCAAGAACAGGGCAAAGCCTATGATTTCAGTTAGATGTCTTACGAGTCGGCACAGATCCCATTGGTAGGTCACCTTGACAAGCAACAAGAACACCATCGTCCATCTATCCTCGATGCATCTATGCGCTCCTCATTCCGATGTTCATCACGGTATAGGAGTGGGGGGACTGGGGGACTACACCTCGGAATCATTCAACCAATTAAAAATACAAGAAGATGGTGACAGCTTATCGGCACCACGGACAACGAGAGTGGGGGACTACACCTCAGAATCACTATATTCAACCAATTCAAAAATACAAGAAGATGGTGACAGCTTACCGGCACCACAGACAAAGTCATCTCTGTCCTAAAGCCCCAGAGGAGCAGACCTCAGCAATCAAAGGAAAAAGACCCACACCCGGAACAAAGTTTACTCCCTTTCGATTCGGTACTATTCAGCTTAGAGAGTGGGGGACTACCGATGGAGTATATGAGCCCAGAAAATGGCCGACATACTCTTGTACACAAAGGACAACTCGAGGGCCACGTCGGTACCTGGATGTTCAGTTGAGGAACTTGGCCCATAAAGAAGAATCAGGCTCCCTGCGCGTAATGGTCATTTCGTTATGACCACCTCGGAGGATTCTTTAGGACCGAGGTGCGCTGGATAGCTAAACAAAGTCCATCACCTTGGTTCATCCAGTTGCGGAGGTCTACAGTTAGCCATCACAAGGTCCAAACATGTAAAACGGCCCATTAGCGGCCCATTATTGTAATTGGGCTCCTCGGGCCCAAGACCTGGGGCCCACTCCATTCATCCCCTATAAATACCCCCTCTTAGGGTAGTTTTGGGGGAGTTAATCTCACTAATTACAAGCTCTTTCTCTCACTATCTATTAGTTTTCCCTTCTCTCTAGGCAGATCGGTAAAATCGGGAAGCTATCAGCTACCATTTACACTATCATGGGGGGGGGGGGGGGGTAGTGTTGATGTGGGGGAATATGAGTGGCTAATCTTCCAACCACCAAATCTTGCATATATGGTGCATTTAATGCGTTTCCCGCCAATATTATTGTTTTCCCGCCAATCATATTGAGCGCTCCAACTGAGGACATCATGATCGCTGACCCAGATGAGTTTGGGCAAAGGGTGCCGCGTGGCATATGCCGAGCGCTTTGGCTGAGGCCTCCATGATTACTTGGCCCAAACGAGATAAGACAGTCGTGCCGCGCGGGGCTAGACACCCGAGCCACGCCGAGCGGCTTTTGGGCCTTTGCGGTTCTCGATCTCTTTTCGCTATAGGATATTTGGCCGATCCCGTGATGGGCCAATTACCCCAACACTATTAGTGGTGGAGAAGCATATATAATCAATTAAAAGATTTTATTTGTTGAATAATACATTTTATTTAATAGAGCGTCTATGCATTTATGGAGAAGCCTAAATTTATTTGTAAATAATTTATAGTGGCGTTTATGTCAATACCTATAAGAACTTTTGATACTATTGAACTTCCAATATATAACAAGTTCATTTTGTAATAATAAAGATGGCCGCCTCTTTTGAAATTACTTAAACATTGAAAATTATGTTCCAAGAAATTGATTGATATAGTAGAAAAGACAAAAAGGGTTACAAGTCAATCGATGTATGTAAACCACCCTGACTCATTTTGTATCACGGGCGTGACTTTCAAGTATTAAGTTAAGAAGAAAGTGAGTGATTGATTATCGCGCATCCTATGGAATGCACAAATGAAAATAATAGAAGATGTTAGTCCATCATTCCATTACAAGTAAAAAGCATATTAGAAGAGAATTGATTTGACAATGAACATGGACGTAAATAAGGGAGGATTAGCCCTGGTCCTGACTCAACCCAAAATTTAAAATTTTCTATATTTTAGTATTCAACATTTGTGTGATTTTTTTTTAAAAAATGTTCTTTGTATCGGGCTCCGCCTTGGACAATGAGAACTACATCGGGTAGACAATTACAATTACGTGTATGTACAAGATGAAAAACACTTTGAATGACTTTGTATTGTATACTTCCTCCGTTCTTAAATAAATGCAACGCTCAACATTTCACACTTGTCGAGACACAACTTTGACCATTAATATATATAAATTTATATTAGTAAAAAAACTATAAAAAAAATTAGATATTGAAAATTTACAATGAGACAAATTTAACAATATTTTTTTCATAAAAATATATTCATACATTAATAAATAAAACGTAGTCCAAGTAGAACATGTGAATAGTGTAAAATTCCATATGTTGCATTTATTTAAGGAAAAATCGCATTTTCAGTCCCTTAAATAGTCACCATATTGAAATGTTAGTCTTGTTTTCCCAAGTTTGTAAATGTCACCCCTCAATTGTCCAAATTGATGTAAATGTGGTCCTTTTAGGGGTGGAATGTACTCCTCGCCCATATTGTACATTTCACCCCTAAAGGATCACATTTTGAAACTTGGGAATTCAGGTCTCACATTTCAATACGGTGACTGTTACAATTTACAAGGACTAAAATTTCGATTTTCCCTTTATTTAAAAACGAAGGTAGTATGTCGGATCAAGTATTTTTTGTATGTACTTAAAATTCTGATGAAAAACACTCCAATGGATTTGATAATTTATTTTTATTTCTATATTCAGATATGTGGATGATTTATAAAACACATTTCCAATGCCTAAAAAAAATTACGTAGTACAAAAAAGGTCGCAGAGGACGCGGTTTAATTCTTCTACCGCCAGCTCCATTGTACCCCCGTGGCTTGTAGTCAGAAGACTCAGAACTGAGAGTTGAAATCAGCAACCATTTCTCACATCGCTTGCAATTCAATCGCTAGATTCCGATCAGACCGCAGCGGTTGCATTTTTACAATGGCTGTTAAAGGGAAATACGGCCGAGGCTCGTCGCGAAAGACGTCGTCGTTGGCAACCATGGCCTTAGCCGTGTTCGTAACTCTCTCTTTTGTGGTCTTAATTCTCCTGGCTTTCGGAATTTTCTCGATTCCTAGCAGCTCCAGGGGCTCTCAGAAAGCCCACGATCTCACCTCGATTGCACACAACACACTCGAAAGGTACTGCATTTCCATTTTGGAACCCACCCATATGCTGTTCTCTTTTCCTGACGAGGAATTTAATGTGCGCAGAAATGAACAAGAAAATGATGGTAAGAGAGGAGACAAGTGGGTTGAAGTGATATCATGGGAGCCTCGCGCCTTTGTCTATCACAATTTCTTGGTGCGTTGCTATAAAATATTACTCCCGCGATAGCCTCGAGTAATATTTCTCATCGAGTAATATTTAACATTAGTCATTTAGCATTGTTTTACATTTTTTGTTTTCTGTATTGTGTCTCTCTAGAAATAAATTCTTCCTCTCTTTCTCCAGTGCATTCCCTGATTTCATGTTCAGACTCAAGTCCTGCTGATTTTTGCTTCTTTCTGTTTTAAACTTCAAAATTCAAATCATCACATTCAATAAGAAATTAGATAAATTGGTTGATCCTTTCTGTGATGACTCTATCAGTCACCTGACATAAGTCACATAACAATATGTGTAAATTAGTGCAGAGCATTATTTTCTTAACTGTTTCCATCATTTCCTATGGAGCCAAAGACTCACTATTTTTTGACTCGGGAATATGATGGAATAAAGCAAAATGGCTCGCTAAACTGTTTGCGCTTCTTTGTTATAAAGCAACAGTCGGTCCATGCAATTTTCGACGTTATTTTCATCATAGGTCATCCGGAAATAGTCTCCCTTTGCTTTAGTATAGGGGTAAGGTCGCGAACATCCAACCCCCCCTACCTCACCGTAGGTGGGAGCCTTTGCGACATTGGGGTAATGTTGTTGTATTTTCTTAGCTGCAGATTACTTTAATATTTGTTTCTTTACACAAAATGTGTTTTAATGTTTTTGCCCATCATTTCTATTGTTTGATCTGTTGACTGACACTAGCTGATACACGGAAGCCACTAACCTATTTTACCATCAATATTTCCTCTGCTAGTCCAAGGATGAATGTGAATATTTGATTAGCCTTGCTAAACCCCACATGCAAAAGTCATCCGTTGTTGATAGCGAAACAGGCAAGAGTAAAGATAGCCGGTGAGCTCATCTCTTAGTAGCATGTAGGTTTGTGTCGCCCTTCCTCTAAATTTCCTAACTTTGTAATCATTTTTTATTGCATATAGGGTACGAACAAGCTCTGGAACCTTTCTTCCTAGAGGACGTGATAAAACAGTCAGGGAGATTGAGAAAAGGATTGCAGATTTCACCTTCATACCCATGGGTAAGCAGTTTGGCAAGGATACTGGCACTATTTCTACTTCAGCAATGTTTGCTTTCAGGAATCATTTTTATTGTTTAATGCTTATACAATGTGCATATACTTCGTATTTGATATGATGTGTCAAAGATAGAATGATCTAGTTTAATGAGCGCAATTCAAAGGCATCAACAATTTAACATGGTGGATTAGTGCAATCCATCTCAGATTAGATTTGCCAAAAACAAAACAATTTTGAGCTTATAGTTGTCCGGTTGTCCCCTTTCCTTCCATTTCTACTGATGGGTCATGAGCTACGCTATTCTTAGGAATTTTCTGATCACGAGTTAGTGCCACCTTTGGCTCATCAAAGACACTTATTTTTCACTTTTGCTCCTTGACAATATATGCGACCCTTCTTTTTCCTTCAACTTCGTAAATTGCACAATGTAGTATACATTGCTCTTTTGCAGGGCCCAGCAGTTAAATCGGTACATGGTTGCTCCTCGGTCAAGGGCTGAGCAGCGGGTTGGACCGGTTTCTCAGGATTAATTGGTGTTTACTCGGTCCTGCAAGGCTGCGCTAGTCATTTAGGGGCGTAGCTAGGGAGGGGCCAACCCTGGCCCCGGCCCAGCCCAAATTTAAAAAATGTCTGTATTTTTAGTGTAAAAATTTCCGTGTAAAATTTTTCCAATTTGTTTTTGTACCGGCCCAGTGCCCCGGCTCCGCCCCCTGCTAGTCATAAGTCTTATATATACAAAGAAAAAATATTTATCCATAAATTATAAACACTTTAAGAAGATCCATCATCTAATCAGTTCTAATTCTTAACTTCTATCCAAAATAATCTCGATTAAGATTCGTAGAAAAATATTGCAAATTACTTCTGTAAAACACAAATTCATAGTAAGGAAAGAAGTATATGAGAATTTGAAGAAGGAAAAGAAGAATTGAAGAAGACAGTGTAGAACTCATCCGACACAGTTCCGCCTCTCTCCTCAAATAATCAGAGGCTCACCATCTGAAGTCTTAATTTTAATATTTCAAAAACATTGATTTTGTAATGTTCTTTTTCCTTTTGTTAAAGTCTTTAATATATTTTTCTTAAATCATGTAGCATTTCAATCACTGGTTTCAATCTTTCAGATTTAACAAAACAAAAAAGTGAACTCATTTTAGTACGACCAAGTTACTCCCGCGAGTAAAACTTTTCACTAAGTCATGGAAATTGCAGAGTACTCTGCGGTTAACTAGGGAACTTGAATGAGTAGGTACACTACATGTCTTGTAGCAATTACTTGCCTAGTACTCAGTGATTGGATAACATAGAAGAAGGGTTATCTTATACAAATGTGATAGCATTCTGGGCTTATCACACTTTTAGATGTCAAGCGAGTAGGGACCACAATTGGGAATGCCACTACAGTCGGGTATAGTCGATGAACCTAAAAGGAAATCACTCTTTTCTCTTCATTTGCCTCCCAGTGGGGTACACAAGTTGATCCACCTCTTATATGTGCCAACACGACACCATAGACTGAACCTTAAGCACTACTAGTTCGATACTAAAAAAAGTACACTTTGTTATATGTAGTTCTCTTCTGCTGCTGCTACTAGTACTACTACTACTATGTACTTGTGTATCAAGTTCATTTATAAAAAGGTTCATAGTTCTTTGTCTTCAACATTCCCAGAACATGGTGAAGGCCTTCAAATTCTCCACTATGAAGTGGGCCAGAAGTATGAACCTCACTATGATTACTTTCTTGATGACTTCAACACAAAGAATGGGGGTCAGCGTATTGCTACAGTTCTCATGTACCTGTAGGTGACTTGATACTTATGTTTGGCACTTTATCACTTAGCATTAGGTCCCCTCTAATCTTTTTTCGTTTACCATGCTGCAGATCAGACGTTGAAGAAGGGGGGGAAACAGTGTTCCCTGCAGCCAAGGGAAATTTTAGTGCTGTTCCTTGGTGGCATGAACTATCAGAATGTGGAAAGGGCGGTCTATCTGTGAAACCAATGATGGGTGATGCACTGCTTTTTTGGAGCATGAAGCCTGATGGAGCTCTAGACCCATCTAGCCTGCATGGTTTGTAATTGTCTATTTAGAGCTTCCATTTAAGTTTATTGAATAAGAGAATATGTTTGTTATCTTTTATCACAATGCAACATGCGCCAACACACACACACCCAGAGGTTTATTTAGAGTACATAAAAGTCTAGAGGTACATCTATAGTACAAAAGTCCAGTAAATATCAAGAGTTCAGACAAGCATATAAGTAATTTCAAGGAAGAATTATGAAAACACTTTATTGCTCAAAGCTTCCCCTCAAGCTGGATCATACATAGTATGCTCCCAGCTTGTTACAAATATTACTCAATTCTTGGTCATATAAAGGACTTGGTATTTGGTAAGGACAGGTGCTAACCGAGCATTAGAACCCACAAAGTAGTGATGTCTCTAGCTTTGATCTTCTCACGGATGAAGTGACAATCCATTTCTATATGTTTAGTTCTTTCATGGAAAACTAGAGTGCTTATTGTTGAGGGCAGCTTGATTATCACATATCAATTTCATGGGCCTGAGTCTGCAAAACTTAACATCTCAGATGCTTACCCAAATAAGCTCAAATGTCTCAAGAGCTGTTGCACAGTACTCAGGCTCGGCACTTGTTTGTGCTACCACCTCCTGGATCTTACTCTTCCAAAGTTCCAAAATATTACTCCCTCCGTCCCGCTAAGATTGTCCCATTTTACCTTTTCGGGAAGTCCCACTAACATTGTCTCATACCAAATTTGGTTCAGTTTGTGTGGCTCTAAATCATTCTTACTTTATTCTTATTTTATCAATTTAATATCAACCACATAAACCCACTTTTCTTAATAATTGTGCCACCTTCTCTTGTCCCAATCTTAGTGGGACGGAGGTAGTATAAATTTCCACTGAAGATCGTAAGATGTCCTGCATTTTTAATGCAGATCTTCTATCTTAAGGACAACCAGCTCAGTCCAAATCAGTATACCCCACAACCTTTTATGCCCTTGTTTCTCATGTATCAAACCAATAGCTAACGCCTTTTAGTGTACCTTAAGCTCCGAGTAGTAACATCCAAATGGCTTTCACATGGTGATTGTTGGAACTTGAAACTGACTGTCAATACTTACAACAAAGGGCGAGTTATAGTGAGGTATATAACTTTTTCTACAAGTCTTCGATGTTTACCGTATTAAATAGAGGGAGCCCCTGTCCTGGTTGAAGCTTAGCATTAGCACCTATTGGCGTGTCAGTTAGCCTACAGTCTAGCATTAGTCACTCCCTTCAAGTATATCCAAGGCACACTTTCCCCCTCTAAAGTACCTATCTCCTGCTTTGACTGCCAAATGTCAATGCGCAAGAAGTATTTTAACTTACCATGGTCATTTTCTCAAAGTGTTGAAACTTGAAAAAATGCTTCTCAAGATGTACTATTTCCCTGCAACATCTCCAAGTATCAAAATGGCATCCTGTAGATTTAGATAGATATTCTGTCAAATAATGTGTAATTATCTTTGATTTTGTTTCCTTATTCTCAGGGATCTAGTTCCCTTTTCATTGAAAAACTGAGTCAGGGTATTAGAAAAATACTCCCGACCATTGTCACTACGAAATATTTTAATCTTCTCATTAAATTGAACTTGGACCATGTTGTAGAATTTTCTGAAAATATCGACTACTTCATGTTTGTCTTTCATCAGAAATAACCAAGTAAGACGCGTATGATCGTCAATAAAAGTGACAAACCACCTTTTACCAGAAGAAGTAGGGATCCTAGATGGACCCCAAATATCACTATGAATTAATTGAAAGGGTTTAGAGGGAATATAAATACGAGAAGGATAAGAAGACTTGTGAGGTTTAGCTAAAGCACACGCTTCACATTTAAAAAAAGATGGATCTTTATTGATGAATAACTTAGGTAACAATCGTTTCAAATAAAAAACTAGGATGACCCATACGAAAATGCCATAACATAATATCTTGATCAGTAGACACAGACTCTAATGTATGAGGAGATTCTTGGGCAACCATACTTGAAAGCAGTCCATCTTCAAGATAATACAGCCCGTCGCACTCCCTAGCACTGCCAATCATCCTCCCCGAGTTCAGGTCCTGGAAATAGCACATAGAGGGTGAGAAAATAGCTAGACAATTTAGCTCACGGGTTATTTTGCTAATGGACAGCAAGTTACATGACAATTTAGGGACATGAAAAACTTTAGAAAGAGTGATAGCTGGAGAAATTTGAACTGTCCCTCTGCCAGCAATTGCAGCAAGATAGCCATTAGCAATTTTCACTTTGTTATTCCCTGCTGCAGGTTCATAGGAAGAAAATAATTGCGAACAATGTGTCATATGATTCGTAGCCCCAGAATCAATGATCCAAGAACTCGAAGGAGTGGAGCAAACAAAAGCGGAAGGAATACCTTTCTGGGCTGGAGCAGGGGAAGAAGATGAATTAAGTGTGAATTGTGGAGAGTTAAAAAGCTTATACAGGTGCTGTAGTTGTTCCTGAGTGAAAGGTAGTGGTTCTGGAGAAGCTGTTTTTTCTTCAGAAGTTTCAGCCATGGCAGCAGTAGCTCTCCCGTCCCCCCTCTTTTTTGTAGACGATGGTTTCCCATGAAGCTTGTAGCATTTATCCTTTGTGTGCCACAACTTCCCACAGAAATCACAAGAGAATGGCGTTTTCTTGTCACCTGCACCATTAAAACGCTTTGAAACCAAAGCCTTGTTGTCGCTCTCTGGAATTGAGGGAGCATGGTCATACATCACCCTTTTTCGTGCCTCTTCCTGGTGAAGTTCAGAAAAAACAGTCCTGACCGTTGGTAGGGGCTTACGGCCAAGAACTCTTCCTTTAGTTTCGTCAAAAATGTGATTGGCGCCAGCGAGAAACATGAAGACACGATCATCTTCCTCTCTGCGTTTTGCACGTACAAGATCTTTTGGATTTTCCCAAACGTCATCATTATAGCATAAATCCAACTCCTGCCACAAAGAGAGCATCTCATTGAAATAAGTAGTGATGTCTCTGTCACCTTGTTTAGAGAACCAAAGTTTTTTCTTCAACTCAAATATTTGAGATGAATCGCCATGATTAGAGTATGCCTCACGAATAGCATCCCATATATCCTTAGGATCCATATACATGAACGGCCGACGGATCCGTTCGTCCATGGAATTGAGCAGCCAACCAGCAATCAGGGAGTTGGCAGATCGCCATCGCCGGAAAGAAGGGTCGGTTGGTGCAGGTTCTGGTTCTTCTCCAGTTAAAAAACCAAACTTGCCTCGTCCGTCCAAGGCAAGCTTGACCGATTGAACCCATTCTGAATAGTTCTGACCATTAAGCCGGACCACCGTAATTAGTAAAGCCTGAAACGAGTTAACGTCCAGACCGGAAGGAATTGGTGATAGGGTTTGTGGGTCAGATGATGGACTCGACATGCCAGAATCTTTGGACATGATTAACCAGAGGAATAGTTAAAAAAAATAGATCCGAAGAGAAGAGTGAGAAAAAAACTCAGAACACAGTAGGGCAATTAACAGGAATCAAACCCTAAGGCTCTGATACCATGTAGTTTTATATAATATGAATCTTCACTCTATTGAATTATAATAGATGTACAAAGACCCTATATATATACAGGGAGAATCCTCTTCAGAAGGAAACTCTATTCTAAGGAAACTAAATCTCACAGAATATGGAATCTAGATCTGAGAGAATAAGGGAACTAGATCCCTGAGAATAAGGAAACAAAATCAAAGATAATTACACATTATTTTACAGAATATCTATCTAAATCTACACATCCACATAGACTACAAGATAAATGTTCAGCCCTTTTTGGTGTCTACAGAAGATAGAATGGTCAATGGTCAACCTTACTCTGAATTATTCCATTTTTTTGGCAAACTGCTCTGAATCTGCCAAAGAGCAAGGTCCTGAGCAAGCCAACTAAGTTGGCTCCCTTGCAGCAACAACACCCGAATGTTGTTCCATGTATAGTTCCTCTTTGAGATCTCCCTGCTAAAAGAGATTCTCAATATCCATCTAATATTACGGGCATTACGAAATAGCAGATGGAGAAAGTAAAGTTTTTTCCTTGAGCCTGTCTACTTGTTCATTAGGACCAACCTGATTAGTATACAACCACCCACACCCTACAATGGGTTTATTTGGGGGTAAAGGAACAACACATTCATATGTCCCAGATTAATGAAAGCTTTCATAGTCTCATTTCCCCAACCTGGATGACACAAGGCTTCCCTGTCACTTGCTAATACTATAACGGAATTGTGACACAGATCTATTCTCTAGAACACCTTCGTGAGGCTTAGAGTTACCTAGTAAAGTGTGAGGAATGCGTTTGAATAAATTAGCGACATGCTAGGTAGTTAAATCGCTACTCGGTCAAGGGCCAAGTAGCGAGTAGGACCGCGTACTCGGAATTACTTGGCCCTATATTAATTAATTTTAAAAATATAAATGTCTGAAATTATAGTAATATATTATTCTTATAATTCTTAGATATGAATAAAATATAATAATCCTAACGAAGAAGAAACCGGAAAGAAGATAGAGGGGAATAACTTACCGAGAGATGAGGAAACTCTACTGAAATGAGTCAATGTCTGAAATACTTTAAAACCTAGACTTTTTAAGGTTTATTTCCATTTTTAAAAGTACCCACTCATTAGTTATAAATTCCATAATATCCCTCTTTATATAAATCTTTTTCAGATTTAACCAAAAAATATATTTTAAGACTGGTCGAGTAACTCGCCGATTAAAAAATTTCCCCTAGTCAAGAAACTCGCCGATTACTTGGTGAGTAACTTGTTAAAACAGGGTGGGTGGAGTCAGATTGCTAAACAGAACGGCCACCCCTGAGTCGCGAGTACTGGCCGAGTACGGGTCAAATGCATAAATGGTACCTTAACTATTGGTAATGTTGCATTTTGGTACCTTAACTCTTAAATGAATTAAAACGGTACCTTAACTATACATAAATGTTTCGAATTGAGATTTTATTCAAATTTATGACCAAAAAATCACATGTGGCGGCCAGAATTCTATGCATAGAGTCTACTTCACCTTGTTTTTGTCCATATGATTACTATAGGGTGACTCTACACATGAAATTTTGATCGTGATGAATGATTTTTTGGTCAAAACTTTGAATAAAATCTCAATTCGAAACATTTATTTATAGTTAAGGTACCGTTTTGATTCATTTAAGAGTTCAGGTACCAAAGTGCAACATTACCAATAGTTAAGGTACCATTTATGCAATTAACTTGGCCGAGTACTCACCGAGTAGATAACACAGGCGACATGTCTATTTGGAAGGATATGTTCATGACAGGTTGGGACATGAAGGATTCTCCGTAAAGCCGAAGTCCTTTGAGAGCAGAGAAGTTGTGGAATACACTTTGGATCAGTAACACTTTAAGCCCTTTTGGAGATGGGAATACCCCATGAAGACGCAAAGAGTTTATCCCTTCACAGAGTGCGTTCAAACACCTTGTAGGTAGTTTGTGCAAAGGTTCATGAGGGAGCAAAGCATTTCTAGGAGTTTTCCCTCGACCCTCGCAATAGAGTTAAAGGTTTGCGATTTATGCGACAATAAGAATGAAGGGTAGCTTCCCCTCGAGTTATTTAGGAACATTATGATGAATAAGCATGGCATGGGCTGTTTCAACATGGTGTCAATTCTTCTGATCTGCAGCTCCATTTTTTCAGTAGATATCTGAAGAGGAAGATTTCAAAATGGTTTCATTAGCAGACAAGAAGGTAGAGAGGGGGTTAGGCTACCTCTTGATCAGAAAAGACTAGCAGAGAGAGCTGTTGAGCAATCCGAGGAGAATGGGCACATCAAAATAGCAAAAGCAAGGCACTGAAGAGACAGAAAAAGAAAAAAGTACAAGTGTACAACTGTTTTGTTCAATAAAGATATTTCCACCCTAGGATTGCTCTTGAAGAAGTAGAGCATGATTAATTATCTGATTATGAACAATACAACTGACACCAGATTTGTACACCGATAGGTACACCTAGAGCACATAAGATAGTCTAGGAAACTCATACCTAGTGACATAGGTAATATAAAGAGACAAACATTTAAAACACATGCTTTAACTTTAATGGATTTGATATGACTGGGATATTGTATATCTTCCTGTGTTCTACAGTCACTAGTTCTATTACTTCTATATCTGGATGAAATATACTGTGCTCAGAGGCATGGAATATGGAATGTGGAAACATGCTCTATTTTTTTGGTTTTTCTTGTAGGTGGTTGCCCTGTAATTAAAGGGAACAAGTGGTCATCTACAAAATGGATGCGTGTTCATGAGTACAAGGCTTAACCTACCACATATGGTAAATTTCATCCAGATGACAATTTAATGCCAATTCTTTTTTCTGCTGTGAGTTTTCTTCTTTGGTGTCCATTGGTGAGCCATATTATTTGGCTAATCAGCCCGATCATTAAGTTTTTGCTATTTTATTTAGACACTATTCAAAATTTAAGCATCTACTCCCATATGTTAACTAGGTTGTTTTCATAGGTTCAGAGTTGAGATGTGAATTTGGATGCACTTACTGCAGTAAGGTTTTGTATGAAATGAAAGAATCTTTCAACACCAGTGCCATAGCAGCGAGGTGCTGATATTGCTCAATGATGTCATACCTGAGTTCATCCTACATAACGTGTTATTATGATTATTATTATTATCATTGTTTTTTAAAAGTAGCAAGAAACCATGTAATAAATGTTTTATGTTAACTTGGACTCTTGGAGCTTGTGTATATTGTTGTCCTTTTTTAGTTACTAGTTTACTACTATGTTCTGTATTTGTATTGCGGCTTACTCCTCTTTGTTTTTACAGAAATAAGAGGATGTAATTTTGATGACGTAGCAACTACTAAATTAATGAATTTTGAAGTTTGGCTTTTAGATCCTCGAGTTCATGTAGTACTAGGCATAGACTTAGGTTGGTCCGGTACCGGTCCGAGACTGCCCGCCCGGTCCTTGAGCCTTTTATAAAGAAACTGAGCTTGAACTGGGTGTTAAGAGTTCTGGGCCGGCTCCGGCCTCCGGGAACTTGGAAGGTCCATTTCCTGTAGGGATGGATCAGGAACAGGATTAAAAATTTCTGGCCTGGTACCGGCCTAGGGTTTGTGCCGGGACCGGGCTGAGCCTAAACAGCACCGGATTGGGACCGGCCTGGGACGGCCCTGGGTAATAAATTAAAAAAAGATGGTGCAATCGGGACTAGGGATGGGCCCGGTCCGGTTCTGGTTTCGGGTTGGGCCTGGGCGGGCTTGGAATTTTTTGGGTAAGGTCCGGAAGTACCGGAACTGGATCGGGAGTCTACCGGTACCAGGCCGGGCCGGTTCTTTTAATTTTTTTTATAGCTTTTATTAGGTATTCCAAGTTTTCAACCCCCCACCCCCAACCCTCGCCAAAACACCAAGCCAACCCACCTACCAATCTACCATAGGCCCAAACCCAAAAACAACCAAAAAAATAAAAAATAAAAAGGCCTGGACCGGCCGGGACGGTCCCTATTTCCCCAGTCCCGGAACTGCCCCTTAAATTCCCCCAGGCTACTACTAGGCCCGGAGCTGGTCTTGGCCAACCGGTCCGGTTCCCGGGCCACCCCTAATCGGGATTGGGCCGAGACGGCCCTGGGCAATAAATTAAAAAAATGGTGCAATCGTGCCTGAGACCGCCAGGTCGGGCCTTAAAAATGAGCCCGAAGCTTGCCCTTGTAGCTACCGGGTCGGGATCGCGCCGGGCCTAAATAGTGCCAGGACCGGGTTGGGCCGACCCGTCCCAGTCCATCCCTCATTTCTTGATCTAGTCCCGGGGTCGGGATTTTTTTTAATTATAGTTATTTAATAGGAAATGGTAAAAAAACTATCGAATTAAATAAAAAAAAGGATAAGATAAAAAACTACTCCGTATTAAATAAGTCCCCTTACTTTTAAACTAAGTCAATTAGGTATTTAGTTCCCCAACTGAAATATCGCACAATGAAACCCTCGAACCCATTTACAAGTGGCAAATCCTTTTTTAGGCTTTAGTTGGTAGTGAATAGGTTAGGGAAAATTGTCAAAACAAAATACATACTATTTTGAAAAAGTCAATTTAATTCATGTACTATTTTATAAATTAAGTATATAAAGTCTTGAATTTTAAACAAATTTGTCATTTAACAGGTAAACAATCGGTAACCCCTTGTGTTGCTGATGTGAATGCCACTTAATTTTTTTTGTACTGTTTTTTTATTATTCTTTTCCCTTTTCTATTTCTTTTTTCTTCCTTTTTCGTTGGTTCGTACCTTGTTCACTCATCCCTACAACCCCCCTCCCCCAGGAAAGAAAGTTTATTATACCAAAAAAAAAGAGAAAAGTTTACAAGAGTCGTAAGTCCTCCGTATTGAGGATCACAAGATAACAACTAGACTAAAAATAAAAAATAAAAAACAATTTCATAGTGCACAACCCAAATAAGAGGCCCAGGTGTAGAGTCCAAACAGGAGGCCCGTCTAACTTAGAACATAATGCTTCCAAAGGAATGTTGGTCGTTCAGTAGGGTTACGCACCAACCTTAGATAGAGAGAGAGAGTGTATCGGTCTGTGTCTTCTTCGTCCAGACGGTTCCTGAGCACTCTTGATATTTTCGCATCGCTAGAAGAGTCAACCGGTGTCCCTGAAAAACACTATGCCTCGCTTGTTTTCATTGTAGGCCTTCTTTGTTCTCATCGGGAGTTCGTTTGCACTGAAGAAGATCGGGGTAAAGTTTGGAAACCGGAGTCCGTGTTGGGCGAGATGGTGTGCTATGTAGTTGGCCTGTCGAAGACGATGACGGACGTGGATCGAATTGTTCCTCATGATGTCGTTTATTGCAGACAGATCTGCAACCCCCCCTTCTTCATTCCTTTTTTTCCTTTCCCCCCTTCTTCTCCCCGCAACTCCTCCATTCTTCTTCTTCTTCTTCTTCCATACTGCTTCTACCCCACAGCCCCACACAACCTCCCCCTTCCTTCATTCTTGCCCAATAGTTCACCCCCTTCTTTCCTTTTTCTTTCTTTTTCCCTTCTTATTTTTCTTCTTCTCCACTCTACTTCTACATAGGGGTGGACTGCGTCCGGGCGGCCTGACTCGAGACCGGTACTCAGACTGTGGTTGAATAGGGGCGGGCTGTGAGCTTGACTTTTGGGGCCCGTCCGAGACAAACGGGTAGATTTTTTAATTTTTTTAAATTAATGGGCGGGTATCGGCCCGGGCCCGACCGAGATTTAATTATTTAGAACCGGGACTGGGCCCGGCGCGGACTGATTCCACCCCTACTTCTAAACCATCCAACTTTCTATCCCCCCCTTCTTTTTTAATGCCTAGAGAAGGCGACTATGCCAACCCGACGACAGCCCTTGCTCTTCTTCAATGGCAAGGCCAACCAGACGGCGACAAACAAGGCAGCGGCAGAGCTCGATGGAGATGGCGACGACAGAGGTCAACGGCGGTAAAAGACGGAAAGCTAGAGGGGGGATAAGGAAGAAAAAAGAGAAGAAAATAAAGAAAGAAAAGAGGAATAAGAAAAAGGGAGAAGAGTTGCAGGGAATTGGGGATTGAAGAGGAATAAATAATTTAGAAAAAAGGAAAATGAAAATCTAATGCCATAGGGACGACTAGAAAAGCGCGTACTGAAAAAAAGTTGCATGGATGATCCATGTAGGCTGATTAACAGGGAAACCGATAAATCATTGGAAAAGACAACTTTAGTCATTTTTTGATACTTGGTAGAATTAATTAATTAATGAAAAGTACGTGGACTGAATTGAATTTTTGAAATAGTAGGTGAACTGATTTGACATTTTTGCCAATAAATTAACCGGTTACTTATGTACACGTGGCGGCTCACATGGCTATTTTCATTTTTTTTCACTTTTTTTTCCCTTTCGTTTTTCCTCTGCCCCCCTTTCTCCTACCCGCCCATTCTAGCAAACTTCACCTTCTTCCATTTCTTCCGTCCACTCTTTCATCTCCCCCTTCTTCTTCCTTCTCTCACCCATCGGTCATCGACCAGCCCTTCACTCTGCAGTCCGAGAGAAACCTAGATCGTCGAAAATGCTCGAGTACCCATTGCACGTCAGACGCCTCATTCTCATAGGTCGGTCGTCTCCTTCCCACGAGCTGATGACTTGGAAGTCCGGGAAGGTGCTACATTGAAGTTTCCATGTCGCCAACGGTTCTCAGTGAGACCTCCATCTCGGCCATTTCCAGATCCACATCTTCAATTCGACTAAACTCCCTAATCGGATGCAAAGAAGAGGGGTTGGCGGAGGAAGGTGAGGAAGGTGAATTGAGGCAGGGAAATTACTACAAGAGCCTTAGAACTAGAGAAAAAGGAGAATGGGGAAAGATGGGGGGAAAAAGTTGTTGGTGCGTGCAGGGAAGATCATAGGAAGCGAGAGTGAAGAAGGAAAGAAAATGAACAAGGAAAAAATGCCACATCATAAGCAATTGCACCAGAAATTGGGAGGCTACCCTCTAAAAAGAGGATTTGGCACTTTTAAATGGGTTCAGGGGTTTGATTGGGCGATATTTCAGTTGGGGGCCTAATTGACTTTTTATAGAATTGAGGAGTTTATTTGATAGTTTTCCCTATTTAATATATTAAGTAAAACCTATATACATTAAAAATCAAATGTATGTGTATTTTAAAAATTAAATTGACTTATACATTTATTAAAATATGATTAAAATTAAAAAAATGCAACCTAAAAGAAGTAATTTGAGTGTGCATAACACACATAATGATGTGCGTAAATAAGTACTCCCTCCGTCCCATTTTACCTGTCCTACTTTCTTTTTTGAGTTGTCCCAAAATAAGTGTTTCATTTCCTTTTATGGAAAGAAATATGTGGCCTACACCATTTCACTTTACTATACTCAAACCTCAACCACAATTTTTACTTTTTCAACCACTTCATTAATAATCGTGCCAAGTCAAACTAAGACACACAAAATGGGACGGAGGTAGTAATTGCTAAAAAAATGTAGATAACAACCTAAAATATTTTCAATTCTTATACTCTTTGGAACTCCTACTTCCTTGGTCAGTTGTCATTTCCTCCATGAAATGACGAGTCAGCACTATGTTTAGTTTTGGAGTTTGTCGGGGGGTATTCAACGAATCGTGAAAACACACAAGCATCTCAAGAGATTGCACGCTCAAGCTCGTTCTATAATTAGTCAAGACTAGGGATGGACCCGGGTCAGTTTGGTCCCAGTTCCGGGCCAAAACCGCCTGGTCCCAAAAAAATTGTTGATTCTGACCCACTTTATTCCTGGTCTAGGTTGATTCTGGGTACCTGACCACGGAGGAGAATTTTGTTGTTGAATCGGGGGAGAGTTTTGTTTATGCTGGCATGGGGGGGGGGGTCAATCGTGGGGAACGATTGCCCCCTAGTCTCTCCAAAGCGGAGGTTCGCTCTAGAGTGCACTCCCCTCGCCGTTGTTGGGGACACTGCTGTCGTGGCGGCTGCTGGAGGTGATGATGGACACCTGGTCTCGGTGAACCCCAGTTTGCACCCAGGAGGTTCATCGAGAGGCTTTGGTGGGTAGTTGCCCTGTCACTCAGCCTGTTGAAGATGGGGCCCCTCCCACTTGGATCGAGGATTGGTGTTTTCACCCCCTGAGGTTTTAGAGAGATGGGGGATCTCCGAGAATCGTTAATGGTGATGGCATTCACGCCTTCACCATTGCGGCAGCGGTAAAACATATGGCGTGTCGTGTAGCGCAACAACAGGACTGAGGGTCGATGTGGGGCCACGAACTGCTGCGCTGCCTAGGGGTGAGAAGTGTCAGACTGTTGTGCTAGCTAGGGGCACGACAAGAACCGACGTGAAAGGTTATGGGTTCATTTCCTGGTGGTGCAGTGGAGATGGGACCACTAGTGCATCGGGCCGTTTGATCAACTGATGGGACCTCGATCGATCCCGCTCTCAGGGATTGTGGTATTGAAGCCACTGGAGAAATCAGCATGATGACATTGTTTGCTGCTCCAGTTGCCGCCTGGTCATGTAGCGCACGCAGAATCTCTGCAACTTAGAGATGAGGACGCCAACCGCGATCGAGGGGTCTGTATCCAAAAGGTTATGCAGTTGCGGAACCACCCGACTAAGCGGCATTGCCGCCGCATCCCTGTTATGGTAGATCTGCTAGCAGAGGTCTGTCGAGTATTGTTGGATCTGTTGACAGAGATCCACAGTGGTAAAGGTGATTTGCTTGCCCTTAGAGGACCTCCTAGTGCCAGAAGGATGGTTGTCTCCACAGAAGGATCTGAGTTGGCTGCCTAAGTCGTTGAATGTTTGCTTCTCTGTGCTCTTTTCACCATTTTGACTATTGAAAGCTTATTTGGAGAGGATCTAGACCTCATTAAAATCCGGACTCTCAACGAGAGCACCAAATGACAGCTTTATTGACTCAGAGGTAGGCAAAACTGGAGGAGAGTTAGAGAACATGTTAAGTATAGATTGAGTAAGAAATTCGGCAGAGTAGCAATAAGCTTGAGAATTCAGAATGTGATCTCTTTCCACAAGCCGGAAGATGATATTTATAGTGTACAAGCAAATGTTTGGGGATCAAGAATAGGCAACCGCCCCACTAGTCTATTGACATGCATAAAGCTAATTGGAGAGATAAAATCTAATTGATTGGTATTATTGTACCGACTTTTCTTCTTTGCATACTGGAATGGATAGATAAGCCACATGTGTAACTTGGCAGCTGGCAGGCGTAACCGCACTGGCTGACGTTAACCCTGGAACAACTGTCATGTAGTGGCGTAATCCTGAATGTTGTGATATCGTAGTGCGAAAATGTCTAAGCCCACAATCAATATTTGTGGTCCCGAGCTTGGTCGTGGAGGTCGTGCTCGAGGGTAATGTGCTACTAAGAGGTGGGGAATCTCAGCTCATGAAGTAGGAATGTCTCTGTTGATCTTGAGCTCGTAGTGCGGTGCTAGGCCTTAGCTCGGCATTCCAGGTACTTACGTGAGATAGGTGAAAATTCCACGTTGATGGCATCTTTCTTAGTCAGCAACTCCTCAACGTGGTTGGTCGTGCTCCCTAGGTCAGTCACACCCCTCTTGCGAACAACTTAACCATAGACACTGACGGTGCAGGCAGGTCGGGTAGGCATCCGCTCTAGAATGATACCCATGGTTTAGAAGGCGAGATTCAACTAGATCTTGTTGGTCACCTCAGGCTAGAAGGTATTCCTTCATCCTTCTTGCAGCTTAGATGGGCTTCCCGATTCAGCGGATGATGGATCCGTGATCAATTAGGATGCATTGTACGCCCTCATGACCAACTCACCAAGCTGACGACTTTATATGCTTGGATGGACGTTGGTGAGCAACCTGCTGTCATCCGGTTCCTTCCCAAATCATCGAACAAACTCAAACATCCTGAAGTCACCCGACACATCTTGAGGTTGGCACATAAGGGTGAGAAGTAGGCGGTCACCATCCGACAGTTCCCTAGGTCGGTCGCCCACGTTTAGCAGGTATGTGACTTCATGGCACCTTTATTGGATGAGGGGGAGCAGTTTTTCCACCCTATAACTTCCAGATTAGACATCCCTTCAAACCCTTCCAGGCTTGTTACCAAGTCTTCCCAAGTTACTCTCACGACTACTACGGGCGACTTTCACTAACGAGCCACTGAAACCCTAAGCTGGTCTCCCCTATGGGTGATGATTTTCCAGGGCCGAACACTCAAATGATATATGTTTTGTTTATAAATTTTATGTTCATAGACCCTCTTGATCTTGTAAAGCATTTTAATTTGTCTTGTTTGCAGGGTTTACTTTAAGAATGTGTGGGCATTCAAGGTTGTAATCATCTCTTGTGCATAGCTCTAGTAAGGGTCACGAGGGCAATGCGGCCCTGAAGGAATCATTGGAGCATGAGGAAGATGGACGAGGAAGATAACTTCATAGAACTCAACAAGAACTGATTAGAAGGTAGTCCCCCGTGGTGAGGACGACATTGCAATATGGAGTCCGCAGTGGAGCTCCCTATCGGTGGCGTCTTCAAGATGTATTACACCACTGTCCCAGATGGGAATGGGTCCGCTTAGCCATGACTTCGTACTCTTTTGTGTAGCTTGAAATTGCCAAATGTAAACTTTGACTAATTGTTAATTTTCAATTCATACTTTTCTTTTTCTATACTTTGTGTTACGAATACTACGGCAATATATTTGGGAATCTGGTATCTCTAACTGTCTAGGGAGGGCGGTAGGCCGGCATGATCGGGCCTATTTGCGCCCCTCCCGATCGGATATAAGTGATATGTTCAATGCTAATATGGAATCAACTAGTGTGCGACTTGTTCGGCCAGCAAGGTCGGACCTCGAACGTACGAGAGAAGGACCTTTAGATATTGACATCCCAAATGGTCATGACTTGGGGGCTAGTTCTATTGTCAACTTAACCTTCCTGCTTGATCGGAATTGGGGAATAATCTGGCCATTCCCGCTAGGTCAGCCGAAAAAACGGAGGTGAGCCCTCCATGATTTAATAGGTTATTGGCATATTTCCTAATCCGCTATAAGGATGGCGAGGTGAGTCAATTCTCGATATATTCCATTATTTCTTCCGAGTTTCCCCTCAATACACGATGGGGTATCTTGTGGTCAATAGTCGTGAGCATCGGAAACTTTTCAAGAAGAATAAGACCTCCATCAAAGGCCGGGAAGAGCTATTTTCTTCTTTCAAGTCCCCAACGCCCCCATTCCCAAGCCGGTGGAATTAATTCCCCCCAAGGTCAAGGACCCCTCACGTCTCGGACGCCTTACGGCCTGTTTGGATCGAGTGTTGAGGAGTGTTAGTAATGGAAGTGTTAGTAAGTGTTGATGCTAACACTTGTTTGGGAGAAAAAACCAGAGGTGTTAAGAAGTGTTAGTAATGGTTAGGAAGTGTTAATAATAACCTTTCCAACACCTCAATTGTCCATTTTTTTAACACCCCGATTTGGAGTGTTTTGAGGTGTTGGACAATTATTACCCTTCTCATTTGCCCGAAAAACATAAAATGCTTCGACATTTCACTTCGAATGTCTTTCCCACAGGTCTGATGGTTTGTTTCTTCATCTCTTCTCTTTACTCGTTCTTTACTCTTTCTTTAACACTTCCATTATTAACACTTCATTCATTTGACTCTCCCAAACAAGGTGAAATTATGTCTAACACTTACACTTCCCTTCCCTTCCGAGCCCTTACTAACACTTACTAATACTTCCATTACTAACACTTCCAAACACTCCATCCAAACAGGCCCTTAGGGGATCATATCACTGTTGTGGAATGTGTCGGACCTATTCCACATCTTGGATTATGTTAATGTTGAGAGTCTTGCCAAGGTCAAGATAGGTACCGCCCACACCCCTAGATTGCTTATTGAGTCCAAGTATAAAGGCTCAGGCGGTCCTATCTCGTGCGGGGAGTTCCCCTCTGGGTTCACACAGCTCATCACATATATTGAACTCTCAGTCCTAACTCCCTTGTGTCTCGTTTTCAGGTCCCATTGTTGTAACCAAAGGGCAAATGGGGGTTGATTGTTTGAGGCGGATTCGAGCCAAAAAATGCAAGAAGAAAGGGACCAAGAAGGAGGAAGATGTCGTTCGCTATCCAGAGCAGTCATATACTCACTTTTCATCTGCCTCTCAGCTCAGGTAGCAAGAACCGGGCGATGTTCACTCCTGACCGGTCCATGCAAGCTCCGACGTTGGTAGCAAGGCCCAAGCGCCGGGCGGTGACGCCCCTCTCCAAGTTGCCCCCTTCAGTCTGTGATAGGGGCTTGCGCCAGAGAATCCCCCGGTGCCGCCTGCTAAGCTCCCTCGAAGTGACGGTAGTGATCGATTCAACCTGATCCTTGAGGGCCAATGTCTTCTTGGCTCGGCCTCGAGCGTCCTCTGGGAAGACTTCATCTCCCATTCTGATGCGGAGGTCCATCCATGTTCCTCGTCCTTGTCGAGGAAGGAATGTTCCTCACCTGCTTCTAGGTTTTCATTCTTCTGTTCGTTCTTGTTCTGTTATCTAGTATGGGTGTCCAACTTATCTGCCATTTAATGCTCGACAGGCTGGCGTGCACGCTGTCTAGGCCTGGGCCGCCTGGGGAAAAAGTTGATTAATGGATCAATGCTTGTGATACCATGAAACGATATGAAATGTTTGGAAATATTTTCTATATATGATTATAAATGTATTGATACATTTGTAGCTACAAAAGTTTAACTATACAAGGACTCTTATGAAGATAATGATAAGAAAAAGAGATTTTTCCTAAAATATTATTAATTAAAGTCATGGACAAAAATATTACTCTTAGTAACTATTAGTGACTATGTTTAAACATTATATCATAATAACTTACATGTTTTTACTAAGCTGTAAATTTGAACATAATTATAGTCACTAATAATCAAGTACTCTGTAATATTTTTTTCCTTTCACATTTTATATGGTAATACTATTGGAATTTTTTCTAAGAAGAATAATTGTGATGGTCTTACTTTCTTTTTTGCATTGTTCGAGAATGAATGTCATGTTTCATTTTTGGTAAGAAATTTGTAGTTCATATCACTTTAAATTACTTTTTTTAAATGAATTACTTTATTAATAATCGTGTTAAATTAAAACAAAACAAAACAATACTTCCCAAAAAAACTTTTAATTCCGGAAAAAAGAGGTGTAAATGCGAGTTGGATGTGTGGCTTCTTTTTACCGCTCACTTAACACGCATCCCTCTTGACTCTTCTGCCCATTATAATAGATATATACATCTGCAAGTCTGCAGACACAAATATCTGGTTATTATTATATACACAGAATCGGATCAAATTATTTAGGATGTGTGTCCAAAGCTGTTTCGTTGGAGCCTTGAATCTGCTGGTGGTAATATCTAGAGGGCAATTCTTCAACTGGAGGGAAAGAGAGAGAGGGAGGGAATCAATGGAGTTTTACACATACCCATCTCATCCTCGGCCTTCATCTTCAACTTTTTCTTCGTTTTCATTTGAGAACCTGGTTGACAAGGCCAAGGAATTCTTCACCTTTGCTATCTCTTCTTTCATTGGCAATGTCTTTTCTGCCATCTTTACCTTCTTCTTCGCCTTAGGTATGCATTTCTTTCTCAAATATCTTATTTTTCTGGTTTTAGTAGCTTGAATTTCTTGATCTATATGCATAACTATCCTCAGGGTAGCATACATGCGATGTGGTGTTTTTTTCTGTGTTTGTTGTTCATCGAGGAGTTTTATTGTAGGATAGCCTATTCTTCTAGGGCTTGTTTGGTTTTGGGATTCCGGATGGAAGGGTCTGAGGGAAGGGCATGGGATTGTAAAATGTTTCTACATTTAGAGATTAGAGATTAAGTGCAGATTAGAAATGAAGGTTTCCAGTCATTAGATACTAATAGTTGGAAGTAATGAAGATTTTTTTGACTTTGTTCTTGCAGTGGGTACCTTATTAGGAGCAATGACTGGAGCTTTGATTGGCCAAGAGACCGAGAGTGGGTTCATAAGAGGGGCTGCCGTAGGTGCTATCTCTGGGGCTGTTTTCTCTCTAGAGGTCTTTGAGTCATCTCTGCTGTTGTGGCAGTCAGATGAGTCCGGAATTGGGTGTCTTCTTTACTTGGTAAGCAAACATGACCTCTTAGCTCTCACCCACGGGTGGCTTGATAAGTGGCTGATGTGCGTTTGGGGAATTGTATTTTGATTACTTTCCCTTTTGAGGTTACTGCAAATTGGGGGAAACCATGCAAACTGGGGGAAACCATCCTATGTGCACAAATAGCACCATCATTTTTAAATAAAAATACGATTCATACGGGCCTAAAAAGGAACCAAGGTAGTTAATGAAGAGAATATGTATTTGTTCTCTTCCATAGTGAGTCCCAAGTTTCAGTAAAAGAAAACGATTGTTCAACTTGTACTTTGTAGAAATGTTCTATGCTTACTCCTGACTGCAACTTGATTGCATCATTCAACTCTTGAACATAAAGACGTTGAAATACATTTAAGTTTGAAGGGACTGTAATGGCTTGCTCATTTGGTTCAGTGGGCATGGGTAGGATAGCTTAGCAGCATAACCATATTCTGACCAATTTCGCTACTTTACTATTCATTAATCCAGTTTTGTTTTGTAGTATGTTGATTATATGGTTAATTGTTGAGCAATTGGTAAATTTTATAGATTGATGTGATTGCAAGCCTTTTGAGTGGTAGACTTGTTCGTGAGCGTATTGGTCCGGCAATGCTAAGTGCGGTGCAAAGTCAGGTACCCCATTACTTCTCCAAGTGCCAAGAGATTTGTGAAGTGTTACACACATGTTAGGTGATAGAGCCCCCCCGCCTATGTAAGGACTTATCGGGGTTTGGCAAGATCTAAGTGGAAAGAGGCAGGATCTTTGCAGAAAAAAGACTAGAAATCTAATTATATAAGGCTTTTTTCTCCAATAAGGTTTTTACTTTTAAGTTGAAATCCCAAGTCATTAAATGCTATGAGTGTTTGTCAAACTCCAACTAAGAATTTGATGTGGTAAGCTTCAAGCCTTCAACACGAACTTTAAAATTGGTATGCTCCAATTAACATTCTTTTTGTAAGGACGTGTTAAGTCATGTAACATTTGTAGAATAGTACTAGTAAAAAAATAAACTTACATGTAAGACATTGAGCTATGTATCCCGGTATAGATGGACAGAGGCCATAGGTTGTGATTCGTGTCAAGAAGAGATTTTTATTACAATGGAACTGGGTAAGATTTTTAACTGTGCATCAAAGCTAACAGTTTCAAATTATCTATCAGATGGGAGCCATTGAAGCTGCATATGACGAGGCATCTAACATTTTTGACCTAGGCGGTTCGAAGGGTTTACCAGGAGATTCAGTCGAAAGGATTCCCAAAATAGTAATAACTAGTGATAACAATGTTGATGCTTCTGGGGAGAGAGTCTCGTGTTCAGTGTGCCTACAGGTACCTCTCGCATATGTCTTGTTTTGCTGTTCACATAACACTAATCCCTTTACATCTCTGTGTTGAATAGTAATACCCGACCAGTCTTGTTTAAAGAGTTTTTATTCTCTCATGTGATTATAGGACTTTCAGCTCGGTGAGACGATCAGAAGTTTGCCGCAGTGCCATCACATGTTTCACCTACCATGCATTGATACATGGCTGTTGAGGCACGGCTCCTGTCCATTATGCAGAAGGGATCTGTAGAATAGTGCCCCAAGCTCTGTAAATTATATAGTAAGGTTCTTAACTATCGTTATCTGCCATGCTTTTATTTGCAAGCTATATTCGTCATCACGTCCTCCCTTAGTACTTGCTTACTGCATACCAATTTTCCAAGAAGCCTATGTAATTACTCCCCAGTTTGTGCTTGTTTTAGTTCTTTCGTTGTACTCGACTTATCACCTTGTAAAGAAAAAGTTTTGGCCTCAGGACAGTCTTCAATTCCTTACCATTATGTTTTGTTGCATTCAAGCTTGTTTCTAATAAGTGCTGAACGCTTTATGACCATTTGAATTGGCACTTTTTACGACATAGAGCATAACGGTCCCGTCTATAGGGAAAAATACTTGAGCTTCGGTATACTCCACTTGCCATAACAAAAAGACTGAAATTGTCAAAGTTTCGATACGCAAATTATACCGTACATCCGGTTGTACAGGGAGCATCGTACAGCCGGCATTTTTGTAATTAAATTGATGCTTTGCAATTCATCGACGACGGGAAAGATGGATGGAATTTGAAGCAGACGACCAAACGCCTCTCATCGTCATTCTCCTTCTCGGAACTCTCTTCCCCTGCCTTCACCTAACCATTCAGCCCTGAATCAAGATGAATCGATGCAGATTCATTCAGGCTGGTCCAGATGAACCGTCTCCTTCTCGGAACTCTCTTCCCATGCCTTCCCCTAACACTTCATCCCTGAATCCAGATGAATCGATGCAGATTCATTCAGACTGGTCCTTGACAACTTCAACAAGAACTTGGTCCGTTTCAAATAATCTGAATTTGAAGTATTTTGTAGATTTGTAGGATCAAATTGTTGACCGAATTCACTAACAATACATATATATGTAGTATTTGAAGTTACGTAGATAGAATTTGTCAAGCAATGAATTTGTCAAGCAAATTTGCAAATTCATTTGCAAATTTGTAGCCTGAGGTTTGTCGTTTCCTATTCTGCAGGGATGCGCCGCTCACCTAATAAGATTTTACAAAAGAAAAAGAAATGAGCATACATAAGAGTATATTGAGTAGTGTACATATTTCAAATGAGCTTTTAAATTTTTGGAGGTTCATTTTGTAGGTTTTGTATGCTCATTTTGTATTATGAGCATAGGTTATGATACTCATTTGTATTCTTTTAATATTTTATAGAAGAGTATATTGAGTAGTGTACATATTTCAAATGAGCTTTTAAATTTTTGGAGGTTCATTTTGTAGGTTTTGTATGCTCATTTTGTATTATGAGCATAGGTTATGATACTCATTTGTATTCTTTTAATATTTAATAGAAGAGTATACTCATTATGTAATTACTCATTTGATATCATTGCTCATTTGATAAGTTATATATGTTTATTTGGTACTGATGTTATGCTCATATTAAAATGTTATCTCAATGCATATTTCAAAAGTAACATATTACATTAGATTCAAGTAGAAGTTAATTACAGACACTATAGCACAGACCATGATATTCAATTGCATGTTCTTAATACTCAATTGAGGAAATTTGATGCTCAATGAAAACGTCTTGATGCTCGATCAATAAAAAAACTTATGCTTGTCATACTAATGCTCAGTTTATAATTTATGAATGCTCAATTGGCACTCAAGGAGGTATAATGCTCAATGAAAAATGTCTTGATGCTCAACTAACAAACCTTATTATTTTCATATTAATACTTATTTTGTAAGCTACATATGCTTAATCGATATCGATGTTATGCTCATTTTTAAAATGTCATATGCATATTTCAAAAGTATATTCAAATATTTAACTTTATAGGGATTGATTGTAGATATAACTTAATACGTTGCTATAAAAGAAAAAATGTAAAAAGAAGGTGAATTAGAAGATATGAATCAGAGATTGTGATGCTCAATATTAGACTCCTAATACTCAAAAGAATAGGTCTACTGCTAATTAAAAAATCATTAATGATCATTTAACAGAAAGCGTTATTTTCATCTCAATATAGGAGGTTTGATGTTCAATGAAAGTGTCGTGACGTCCAACTAACAAAGTTGTGTATGTTCATTTGATACTGATATTATGCTCATTTTTTAAATGACATATCAATGCATATATCAAAAGTACCATATTACATTGAATTTCCATATTGAAGTTTATAGAAGTTCATTATAGATATAATTAATAAGTTTTTATAAAACAAAAAATAAGAAACAGAAAGTGATTTACAAGATATGAAGGAAAGATCATGATGTTCATTACTAGACTCGTAATACTCAATAGAATACGTCTGATGCTCATTAAAAGTGTAATAATGTTCATCTAACAAAAATCACGACTTTCACTGAAATTATGAAAATGCCACCGTTTTTTAGTTGTGATATCAGCTTTCTTGTAATAGAATTGTGCTCATTAATAGACTTTCAATACTCATTAGAATTGGACAACTGCTCATTAACAATACACCAATGCTCATTTAGCGGAAACTGTGAATTTCATTTAAATTATTAAAATGCCACCGGCTGTATGGTTCTCACCGTACAACTGGCTGTACAGTATAGGGACTCGTTTTGATATACTTGGTATGATACCGTGACAAATTATTTTAGTATGGTACCAATGATATACAGTTATTATATCTAAAGCCCAACCAAAAAAATTAAAAAATACTAAAATCGTTCAGGAGGATAAAGAATTCTTTATATTCTTGTTGCTTGTGTGTTTGATTACCTTTTTTGTCAGAGATTAGTATTGTTTTATGTGTATATATATACGAGTATGTTGTTTGAATTATTGTTATATACGAGTATTTTTTTAAATTGAATGCTCAGTTATGAATCGACTATTATTAACATTTCGTACATGTTTCTAGTAATGATTTTAGTACAACACTTATAATTTCGATTTTATATGTTTCGTTTAGTATATAGGAATTTTGGTGTATTAAAATTTGAGTACGATAAGAGTTTTCTTAAGAGAGAAGATATGATAAGATTTTCCATCAATATGGTTCTTTTCAAAAATTAGTCTTCCGTCCCCTGATATATTGAATCTATTGATTGGATAATTGACAACACATGGGATAGTCTCCGCGGAGTGCCTATACCGTACACCCGGCTGTACGGTGCAAATCGTACAGCCGGTGGCAATTTTGTAAATTTAGTGAAGATCATGGTTTCTGCTAGATGAGTATTAGTGAAATGTTAATGAGCAGTAGTCCAATTGTAATGAGTACTAATAATCTAGTAATGAGCACGGTGTCATTACATGAAAGCTGATATCACAAATAAAAAACGGTGGCATTTTTGTAATTTCACTGAAAATCGCGATTTTGATTAGATGAGCATTAATTAGGGTTGTAAATGAATCAAATAATTTGTGTTCGATTCGCGATTTGAATTCGTATAGGATGATTCGAATTCGGAAAATTCAAATACAAATACAAATAAGAATATTAAATTTGATTCGAGTTGTTATCAAATACAAATAAGAATATCAGTGTATTCGATTTGAATATTAATCAAATATATTCGATTAATAATAATGGTAATATTAATATCAATATTAATAATAATAGTAATAACACTATAATAACTTTTAAAGGATAGCAATACCCTCAAAGTGTGGCCCATATAAACATTTTTGCATACAGATTCAAAGCCCATTCGTAATGACCCAGAATATAAATATGAATACAAAACATTTTTTTTATTCAAATGTCTTTCAAATACAATACAAATAATTATGTATTTGATTTGAAGAATAAAATTAGAGTTGGTTGACTTTGATATATATAATTATCAACTTATTTCACACATTATAAATATAATTTCTAATATGTGTGTTAGTGTTTATTCCAAAAAAATTGAAATAGATTTATATTTATTAATCATCATAAAATTAATTCACTTTAGTATATTGTGCACCATCTAAAAATGCATTGATCCATTAAATTTAAAATCTAAACACACATATTATGTCATAGCATGCATTTACAACATAAAAAGTATAAAAAAATTATTTTAAAGTGATATTTGACTAATATTTAACCTATGCTCAAATTGTTTCGATATTCGTATATGATTCGTTAACTATTCGTATTGTTAAACAAATACAAATACAAATCGAAATTAATGTTCGTTTCATATTTGAATTTGAATTCGTATTCGAAAAAATTAAACAAATACAAATACAAAATCTCATTATTCGACTCGATTCGGTTCGTATACAACCCTAGCATTAATACATTTTTAATGAGCATCAGACATATTCTACTGAGTATTAAGAATCGAACAATGAATATTGTGATATCAACTTCATATATTGTAATCCACTTTTTTTCTTATTTTTTTCTTTTATAAAAATTCATTAAATTGTATGTATAGTAAACTTCTATGAACTTCCATATGTGAATATAATGTAATATGATACTCTTTTAAATATGTATTGGAAGAACATTTTAACATGAGCATAATTCGAGTACTGCATGAGCATGTGTAACTTACAAAAAGAGTATTAATATGAAAATCATATTTTTTTAGTTGAGTATCAAGACATTTGCTTTGAGTATCAAACCCTCTTTATTGAATCTAATAGTACACCAATATCAAATGAGCATACTCACTTTACGAATGAGTATCAAAAAATTCAAAAGGCTCATTCAAAATGAGCATATATAGCTTACGAAATGAGTAGTGAAAAAATTTAAATGAGCATTACACCAATATGCATGGATATCACATTTTGAAATGAGCATTACACAAATCTAAATGAGTATACATAAATTATGAATAATAACTTATAAAAATTCTTAAAGAAAAAATAAAGAAAAGAAATAACTAAAACAGGAAAACAACAAAAAGTGAAAAGCAAGAAACGATTAAATGAAAAGCCACCGAAAAGTGAAAAGCAAAGAAACGATTAAATGAAAGTGAAAAGCAACGAAAAGAAGAGGAAACCAAAAAGAAAAGAAAACGGAGTAAAGCCATAGTGCGTGAGAGGTACTCCGTATTTCCCAAGCTTGGCGCTGGTAGTCCGTAGCAGCCATCAGCGAAAAAGAAAAAAATCGGCGGACGAGCAGTGGGGAAAAGAAAAGCAGCAGCATCCATTAACCTAACCTTTACCACTGAACTTGGATTTAATTACAAAAAAACCCGGCTGTACCATGCTCTAGGTACAGCCGGCTGTACGGTATATATTACGGTCTCCGCGAGGTCGAGAAAAAACGAGGA